GAAACTTTAGCAGCGGCAAAGCAGGCTGCGGCCACATGTGCATGTGTTTTGCGGGCAGCCGCCGCCTCCCCGGGCTTGCTCGTGTTATGACTGTTGATGTGTTGAGCATGGTGCGCACACAGGACCCCATGCGCGGCGCTTGCTGGCAGGGGCCGCAATCGGGGCGGCGCCCAGGCTTGCGGCAGCGGCGACAATCGGCACAGGCAATGCTCCCTTGCCAGCACGGTTGCAGTGCCCCCTTGACATGTAAAATCTGACCTTGGCGCTTAACTGAACTACACAGGGGACAAGGGTTGCTGAGCTGGCCGTGCATGCGGCACACTGCATGCTCAGGCAGCCAGGCATGATGTCAAGGTGTTGCCCTGCTTGCCATGCAGCAGGTGCGCCTTGGAGCAGAACGCGGGATGCGTGATTGGTGAAGGCAGGTTGGGGCAGGAGGGGCCCTTGGAGGAGAAAACTGGTGCAGAGTACAACGCCTCGGTCATTCCAAGGAGCCTGGTGCAAAACACTAGGCATGGGGCGTGGCCACTGGTGCGCCTATGATGAGTCTGTTGTCCTGCAATTTCAACCCTGCATGCGGCTGGTGCACGTCGTCATTCACTGTTGAGGAGCCTCCTTTTCATGATTTCAGGGCAAGTGCTGTCCGTGCACGAGGCTGCGCTTTCCCCAAGACATGCCCCGCATTTCAGCATGCATGAGGGGCACAAGTTGTGCACCGCCGCAGGAACCACGGCAACTTGGCGCACCCGCTCCCGCTGGGAACACGAGTTGCGGCCCCATGGCGTGGAGTTGGCCTTTTGCTTGACGGATGCCCGGCAAACCATCATGACTCTCAAAACCACAGCTCCCGTCCACAGCGACTCAGTTGCAGCAGCCACCGGAGTTCTGCTGTCGCTGCTGCGTGTTGCTGATGCCTCGCTGCAGCTGCAGCAGCAGCTGCTGCCGCCAATGGTATCCAGGTCACCGGGATCGTCATCACGTATCGGTCCGTGCCGGCGCGCACCCTTTGCTTCTGCAGGCGTTCAGTAATCATCCCCCCCCCCAAAAGCTGCACTCAATTTAGATGTAGAGTTCACAGTGACAAGTGTAGTTCTCTGCAGGTGCCATTCGTTTTTTGTGCATCGAGGCCTGTGCCACCCCAGTCGCGGTCGGCGCGACTGGGCTGACACAGGCCTCACTGCACAAAAACGAATGGCACCTGCAGAGAACTACACTGACAGTGTGAGCTCTACATCTGTGCCTTGAGCTGGTGTGGGTTCAGGGCTTCTGCCGCAGAGGGTACATCGTGCGTCTGCGGCCCCGGCGTCTTGACCAGCTTTGGCCCGAGGCTTTGTACCCGGTATCCATTGCACAAGCTTCCCTGACTCGCAAACTTTGCGCCACTGTCCAGGACGCGCATGAAGGTTTACGCGCAGTGCAGTGTCGCCCCTGCGGGCGCGGCGGTTGTCCGCCTGTCGCCTACATGCACGAACGCGCACCCCACAGCCAGCCACATGGGTCCTTTCGGGCTGTGTTACAAGCTATAAGTGCGGCTGAAAGCCCACACCATACGCTAGCGACAGTTCACTTGTGTGCGCCCCTCGCAATGGCACTTCCGAAGACCGATCCGGCTTTCTTCCACTCCTTCTGCGCACAACCGCGCAATAACACATCTCATTGGCTGTCCCACATTTGAAACTTGATTCATACGTCTGACTGGTGATACTAGCCCAGCAGACACACCTGCCGGGCAAAAAATCCCCGCAAGCGTGTGATCTGCAAGCAGATCTAGCGCTGATAATCAAGCACGCGGCGTCGCGTCCAGCTAGGGTCCGCCTAGGCATATAAAGGCGACAAGGGGCCATCCGAAATGGACCCGCTCGTGCCAACCATCCTCATCCCGGCGTCGGCCGCCGTGGGCGTGCTGTTCGCAATCATCTTATGGCAGCGGGTCAGCAAGATCCAGATGACGGGTGGCAGCGTGTTCCGCAGCGGCGACCGGGCATACCTGCTCGAGGAGGAGCAGCGGGGCGACGACGAGGTGCGTAGAAAGACATTGGGGCGTAAACATCTTGTTTTGTGCGGGCACGGGCCCTTGGAGGCACGGATCTGTCAACTGCAACAGGCCAGCCTGTGTGTCGACACCCCGCATGCGAACTTGTCGCGGTCGGCGCGACTGGGCTGACACAGGCCTCACTGCACAAAAACGAATGGCACCTGCAGAGAACTACACTGACAGTGTGAGCTCTACATCTGTGCCTTGAGCTGGTGTGGGTTCAGGGCTTCTGCCGCAGAGGGTACATCGTGCGTCTGCGGCCCTGGCGTCTTGACCAGCTTTGGCCCGAGGCTTTGTACCCGGTATCCATTGCACAAGCTTCCCTGACTCGCAAACTTTGCGCCACTGTCCAGGACGCGCATGAAGGTTTACGCGCAGTGCAGTGTCGCCCCTGCGGGCGGTTGTCCGCCTGTCGCCTACATGCACGAACGCGCACCCCACAGCCAGCCACATGGGTCCTTTCGGGCTGTGCTACAAGCTATAAGTGCGGCTGAAAGCCCACACCATACGCTAGCGACAGTTCACTTGTGTGCGCCCCTCGCAATGGCACTTCCGAAGACCGATCCGGCTTTCTTCCGCTTCTTCTGCGCACAACGCGCAATAACACATCTCATTGGCTGTCCCACATTTGAAACTTGATTCATACGTCTGACTGGTGATACTAGGCCAGCAGACACACCTGCCGGGCAAAAAATCCCCGCAAGCGTGTGTGATCTGCAAGCAGATCTAGCGCTGATAATCAAGCACGCGGCGTCGCGTCCAGCTAGGGTCCGCCTAGGCATATAAAGGCGACAAGGGGCCATCCGAAATGGACCCGCTCGTGCCAACCATCCTCATCCCGGCTTCGGCCGCCGTGGGCGTGCTGTTCGCAGTCATCTTATGGCAGCGGGTCAGCAAGATCCAGATGACGGGTGGCAGCGTGTTCCGCAGCGGCGACCGGGCATACCTGCTCGAGGAGGAGCAGCGGGGCGACGACGAGGTGCGTAGAAAGACATTGGGGCGTAATTATCTTGTTTTGTGCGGGCACGGGCCCTTGGAGGCACGGATCTGTCAACTGCAACGGGCCAGCCTGTGTCTCGACACCCCGCATGCGAACTTGTCGCGGCGGCCTGGCCTCCGTCTTGCCTCGCAAGGGTTTGCACTGCCTCGTTTTGGCCCGGTTTTCTCCCTGGCATCTACCTGCTTGGTTCCCACGGGCCTCGGGGGACGGGCTGGCACACATGCCGAGCTGGCATGATCTGTCGCAGCAACCGCACATCTCGTGGCTCATTCGGGCCCTTGCAAGCTCGATGAGTGCTTGTAGCGCTTGTCAACACGATTTCGTGACCTCACGCGCAACGCCTCGGGCCCGCCCGCCTGGAGCGTGAGTCGTCAAACCAGGTCAGTCACCGCAGCCCGCGCCCCTTGCGCCCTGCAACCTGCGTCCGGCCCCGCGCACAGGTGATCCAGAAGGCGGCGGACATCCAGGATGCAATCAGCGAGGGCGCCAACTCGTTCCTTTTTACCGAGTACAAGTACCTGGGCGTGTTCATGGTGGGGTGGGGGCGCTCCCCCAAAAGTCGCCTCGTTTTGGAGTTTTTGGCACCGGGGCCCCCGCCAAGTGCGGGCGCCGCCACCTCCTGGCGACGCGCGCATTTTGACATGCTTTCCAAAGCGCGGCTCGCGGCGCGACGGCGCGGCGCCAAGCTTCCCGCTGCGCCGCGAAGCTCGCCGTTTGCCCCTCTTTTCTCGTCAAGCTTGACGGCACCCCCGCGGAGCCCGCCCCTGCCCCGCCCGCTGCCCCCAGCCCCCGCC